CGCGTTCTAGACGGGCTGTCAGTCAGTGCAGTTACAGTGTTGCACCACAAGGTGGTGGAAAGGGACTGTCATTCAACTACACATTCAAAAACGGTGATTCATTCATTCAAAGAGACATAATGAAATACTCTGTTGAAATCATTTTAACTTTGAGTGCCATTTTAGAAGGCTCAGCTGACCAGCTATGCGTCGATGCTAAGACCTTGGACATGACAACCTATTTTCACAAATATATATGACTCGGCCTGGAGGACAGACGCAAGTAATCGCACGCGCTCTGTCGATCTCTCTCATTCACTGTCTGTTTAGGCTTGTTAAGTGCAAATCTACGGAGCCTCTGTACAAATCAGCATGGTACACATTATGTTATCATTACTAACTTGTTTAATATTCAGTCCACATGCATGGAGTGTAAAACGAGAAGGGCATAACCTTACGAAAAAAGAAAACAGGCAAAAATCGCGGTTGCTGCGGTTCTTGCATTCCTCTGCGGTTTGCTCGTCAATAGCGCAGTATTGCGATATTGCGGTTATCGCGACAGCCCTAGCTATAAGTCAAATGGTGATAACATAAAAGTAAATAAAAGAGTTCACTCATATTACACAGCCTGCAGCTCACGACACATTTAATGAGGAAAGTTAACATGCACGCTAAAATCAGCCCAGAAGTTTCGTCTGAATTGCATGTTTCTACTTACACATGCATATGACTTGAAATATGATAACTTTCTGGCATCCATTCTAGTAGGGTAAAACGTAAATATGCTTTCAAAATGGTCTGTTTTGCCCTGCCATCATTAGCTGAAGCTGTGTGTGAACAAGCCGCGGATGCAGAGTGTGAGCTGCTCCGTGCAGCCAGAGGAAGAGAGATTCCCTTTCGAGGGAACTTCGAACTGCGTCCTCTAGGGGAACGCCTTCAGCGTGACCAGTGTCTGAAGCATACATCTAAAAACGACAATAACATTGGCCGGCGACAGCCTATGACGTCATTACCCTGCGCGATCACAGTATAAAAGGGTGCTGGGATAACACATCATCCTCTTCTTCGTCTTCACTGACCGTTTGTTTATGTTAGTGTTAAACTAAGCACGACTAGGAGTGCATGCTCTCTCGCCAGAGGCTTTGCTCTGATACCTGCAGTTTCACACGGCTCGCGTGCTGTGTGTGTGTGGTGAAGAGCAAGCGCGTTCAGCTCTCGAGGGAGTTGGATGCGCTCTGCATTCATTGCTTATTGCTTGTGAGGGATAAGCATGAACTGAACGCGCTCATCTCACGAAGAAACGGCTTGTGCTCATCGTGATGCATTTGCAGGACTACTGAGGGGGAGGTGAGTACTTCACCATTTACCCGAGTTTGTAGATAGCGTTTGCATGAGTGTGTTCGCCTTTCACGGGAATAGTGATGCATTCACGGCAGCGGTTTCCTTTCTCGCTTGATTTCCAAGGTAATCTAGCGTTTGGGCAGAGCGTGTTTAGATCCCGCGTGTTGTGGTCGCAGTGAGAACATGGAAAGGACCTGACGGGAAATTTCACCCTATCAGTAATTTCCTTTTGTTTATATAGTA